AATCCCTAATGTTCTGTGATTCTGTGATTCACTCATTTTTCACACTCTCCTACCATTCTCTGTTGTGCTATGGATCCTTCCCAGCCTAAGAAGTTCATCTGACTTGGGCTGGGGGTGTCTCTGGCCTGAGCTGGGGGCTCATCAGCTGAGATGAACAGGAGGCAGGTGAGACCTGTTGTACCATCACAGCTGAACTTGAACAGGACTGGGTGCAGCCTTGAGGACTCAAAGTGAGATATTACCAACCATAAAAGAAAGCTCTAGCTTTTACATGACAACAGGGTGCTGTTTTTCCCAGGTTGTCCAAATCCCTAGAGAGACAAGGTCCAGCTTCGTGGGGTGTCTTCTCTGAACTCTGGAGCCCAACCTTCCCTTCTGTGTGGCAGCTCAGATGTATTTCCAAGGGTGAGCTGCTGTTTGTTTTAGGTGATCTCTGGCTCTTCTATTTGTAGGTAAGGAACATGAAAAACAAGGATGAACGCATGAAAATAATGAGTGAAATCCTCAATGGAATCAAGGTGAGCAGTGGAGTGGGGAAGTGCTCTGAGCCATGGGGCAGGACAGGAGATAGGATATGCAGTGGACAAGGAGGTTTCTGAGCACGTCGGGAGCTGGTGATGGAGGGGCTGGCCACCAGCAAGCTGAGTGTGGAGGGGGGATGTCCTGTGAGGCCAGGACTTGCTCACACTGGTCATCCCACAGATCCTGAAGCTTTTTGCCTGGGAGCCGTCATTTGAGAAGCGAGTCAATGAGATCCGGGCATGCGAGCTGAAGGACTTGCTGAACTTCAGTTACCTGCAGTCAATCTCTACCTTTGTGTTCACGTGTGCCCCCTTCCTGGTGAGTGCCAGCAGGTTTGGGGAGGGCTGCACCTTCCTCAGAGCTGGGGTTGTGCTGTGTCCAAGGGGATGGGGAAGTTATAGTCCTGCTTGCTGGCAGGAGAGCCATGATTGGAAAGAGGTTCCATCAGAGTGGTGAGACAGGGCCCAAAGAAGAAGGGAAGCAGAAGAGGAACAGGTCCCCAGCAGGAAGGCACTGCTGAGGCCTTAGGGGAGCATAAGGGGCTGGGCTGCACTCAGCCACACTGATGGTGGCTTTCCCTGCTATCTGTTCTAGGTCTCCTTGGCCAGCTTTGCTGTCTATGTGCTGGTGGATGAGAACAACATCCTGGATGCACAGAAGGCCTTTACTGCCATCTCCCTTTTCAACGTGCTGCGCTTCCCCATGGCCATGCTGCCCTTGGTCCTTTCTTCCCTGGTGCAGGTCAGCTCTCACATAGGGCAGGGGGAATCTCATGATACCTCTGCCCAAACCAGCACATGGGGCTCAGGTGTGTTATGGACCTGGGTCTTAGACACCCAGGAGTCCGTGCAGAGGACTGCTGACAGTAGGGTGGGACAGGGCTCACATATGTGATGCAGGCTTGGGCATCAGAGGTTGGGACTGGTGCTTCTTGGGTGAGGGGTGTGTGTATGCGGTGCTCTGCTTACAGGGCTCCTGCCAGCCCACCCAGCTGTGCCCCGTGCCCACACACCTGCACCCTGTGCCCACACACCTGCACCCTGTGCCCACACATCATCCTCTTTCTGCCATTGCAGACCAATGTGTCGACTGCAAGGCTGGAGCGCTACCTGGGGGGAGAAGACCTGGACACCTCAGCTATCCACCACAACCCCATTGCAGGTAGGCTAACCTCCAGATTAGCCTCTGTGGGTCACAGGGTGGCCCAACCCTGGGCTTTCCCAGCCCTGAGGGATGGCTCTCTGCTGACAGGCAGTGCTGTGCGTTTCTCGGATGCCACCTTTGCCTGGGAGCAGGACGGCAATGCTGCGATAAGAGAGTGAGTGCTCTGTGCCATTTTGGGGGCAGATGGATAGGGAGAGGGAGTCTTTGTATGTTAGTTGGGAATGGCATTCACTGCTCCATGCTGGTCCCATGCTGCGTCTTCAACTCTCCTGTCTTCACAGTGTCACCCTGGACATCACACCTGGGAGCCTGGTGGCTGTAGTGGGAGCTGTGGGCTCAGGCAAATCTTCACTGGTGTCCGCCATGCTCGGGGAGATGGAGAATATCAAGGGACACATCAACATCCAGGTGAGAGGAGCCGGATGGCACGGTGAGCTGTGGGGCTGCCTGGGAGCTCAGTGGGGAGGCAGCAGGGCAGGAACGGTCCCAGAGCGGTGGCTCAGGGCAAGGAGAGGCTGCAGGACAGGCAGGCAAGGAGGTGGCAATGCTCAGGCTGATGATCTGACGAGGTAGCTGTTCTTGTGTCTCTCCTGCCAGGGCTCCATGGCCTATGTCCCCCAGCAGGCCTGGATCCAGAATGCCACACTGAAAGACAACATCCTTTTTGGGTCGGAACTGGATGAAGCCAGGTATCAGCAGGTCATCAAGGCCTGTGCCCTGCTTCCCGACCTGGAACTGCTGCCTGCAGGTGACCAGACAGAGATTGGAGAGAAGGTATCAGGCCCAGGCACTATGGGTTTCCCATAGGACCTGCAGCAGGGGACAGAGCTGTTTCCCTGTGACAGCCAAGGGCTCAGAGAGGTCCCTTCCCTTCCAGGGCATTAACCTGAGCGGGGGTCAGAAGCAGCGAGTCAGCCTGGCCCGGGCAGTGTACAATGACGCAGACATCTATGTCCTGGACGACCCCTTGTCTGCTGTGGATGCTCACGTTGGCAAGTACCTCTTCGAGCATGTGCTAGGGCCAAAAGGACTGCTGCAAAAGAAGGTGAGCACCCATGCCTACCGCCCCACCACCCGGCCAGGCAGGAGTTGAGCATCCAGGGAGGGCACTCATGTGAGGCTGCAGCAGGCAGGAAAGGCCTCATGGGTGCCTAGAGGGGTGCCCTGTGTCCTCCTAGCCAAGCATTGATAAGCAGAGGTCCCCAAGGGGCAGATAGAGAGCCTGCAGGCCCGAGGCTGGGGGCAGGGTCTGCTCTAATGCTCATTACCCTGCAACCATTTTGTTGCAGACACGGATCTTGGTGACACACAGTATCAGTTTCCTGCCCCAGGTCGATAACATCGTAGTGCTGGTGGCGGGAGCAGTGTCTGAGCACGGCTCCTACAGCACCCTGCTTGCAAACAGGGGGGCCTTTGCTCAGTTCCTGAACTTGTACGGCAGACAGGAGGAGGATGCTGTGGAGGAAGATAGCACAGGTACTGGGAACACAGTGGGGCTGCGGCTGTTAGAGGGGCCATGTGTGTGTTTTTGGGTTATGAAAACCGCAAGACGTGGTCCATCAGTCTGGTCTGGGTCTATCCAGCCCAGACCCCTGTGGTGGCCACTCTGAATCCTTCCTAGCTTCTGGCAATCTTCAGCACAAGGTCTTTCTGTCTAAGATTTGCACCCAAGCATTGTATTGAACAGCCAGCAAAGGAACTGTCTGTTTTTTTCACTCCTTTTTAAGTTCAATTATGTTTATGGGTCCCATAATCTTATGTGGCAATGGGCTCCATACCTTAAGTGGTGCTGGGGTGAGAAAGACCCTTTGGTTTATTTCAAACATCCTGTTGGATAACATTTCATCTTTATCATGTCTCCCAGTGCTATGTGGAGGATTGGTTTCAGGTCAGGTTACCAGGTGTCCAGTTGGAGCCTGGCTATTGCTAGTCTGTCCCCACAAGACCCATCTCCACCTGCTCAAAGCAATGCTTCTGAGCTGGAGTGACATGGCCTACCAGATCTTGCATCTACTAAACTAATGCAAATCTCAGATTGAGGTCCCACCAGTGATACTGGGATAGGTCAGCAACAGGGACTGCCTCCATGCAAACCTTTAGCCTTATGTCCCCTGTCAGTTCACCCTCCAGCACAATGGATTTCTTCCTCCTCCTGCTCTACTGGGCTTGCAGCAGGGCTGGAGAAGGTGTGATGTGTGGTGGTAGGACACGTCCTGGGCCTGGAGTGTGCGGTGGAGCTAAGTGCAGCAGAGGCATGGTGCCTGGGATCTGCTCTCTCCTCAGTGCCTGACCCTACCTTCCCTCATCTCTGTGCTTGTAGCTCTTGCTTTAGCTGGGGATGAAGAGCAGGGTGATGAAGATGTTGATCCTTGTGTGGAGGAGGGCCTGGATGATGTGGTGAGCATGACCCTGAAGCGAGAGGCCAGCATCTGTCAGAGAGAGTTCATTCGCAGGTGGGTACTTGACCTGAGGTCTCAGCTCTCTCTACTGGCCCTTGCACTGCTCCCTCAGAGCTGGAAGTCTGAAGGCTTCACTGGGGGGATTCCTGCAAAGGAGAGACTGGGAGCCTCCCTACCTGCTCCTACCACCAGTTGGGCTGGGTCAGGAACATCTGTTCTTGCCTTTATTCACATTAGTGTGTCACAGCCTTACTCTGTGGTCCTCCCTGAAAGGGAGCATCCAGCACCCTGTGACTAACACTGCCCATCACCTCCCTGCAGCCTTAGTAAAAGCAGCACCAGTTCCCGGAAGAAGACCCAGGAGGAGCCCCCCAAGAAGCTGAAAGGTCAGAAACTGATCGAGAAAGAAGCTGTGGAAACTGGCAAGGTGAGGAGAATGGATAGAGTGGGCACTGTGCTGCCCTGGCTCAGTGCTACAAGACTGTGGCTCAGAGAAGCTGGTGCTGATGTTCTGTGGCCCCATTGCAGCCAAGAGGCATTGAAGGAGACAGGGCTGGGTAAGGTGGTGGAGGGGAGCCCTGTTGGCAGCAAAGTGGGAGTCCCAAGGCTGTGCTGGGTGTCACTGGACACAGTTTGCTGGGCAGCAGTGATGGGCTGAATTGGTCTACAGGTGAAGTTCTCCATGTACCTGCGGTACCTGCGTGCTGTTGGCTTGTGGTATTCTTTCTGGGTTGCTATGAGCTATGTTGGCCAGTACGTTGCCTATGTGGGGACCAACCTGTGGCTTAGCGCCTGGACTGATGACGCAGAGCACTACTTGAACCAGACCTATCCCGTGGAGCAGCGAGACCTGCGGATCGGTGTCTTTGGGGCACTGGGGGTGTCACAAGGTGAGCGTGGGGGCACAGGGGATCCCGCTCATCTCAGTCTGTGGTCCAGAAGGGATAGGGCTTGCAAGGCCTGCAGCTAGCAGTGCAGCAATGAGCAGAGGGCCATCATTGTGTCCATCTGCCTGCTGCTGCCTTCCCTCCTGCTCCTGGCTCAACTGGGGACAGATGTCAGGGTGAAGCCAGCATAAATTTCCCCAAGAAGTTTGTATTGCCCCCTTAGGTTAAAGATCACTGTCCTTAACCAGCCTGGAGATAGTGCCAAGGCCCAAGGTTTTCCAGAAGGGTTAATGTTTCTCCCCTGTGGTGGGACACAGTTACCGGGGCCTCTGAAGAAGGTGGGATGCAGGACTATCACAGTAACTCGCTGCAGAGCTGCTGGCTTGGAGCTGCTTGATGTGTCCCTCGACCGAAAGCGTGCCTGAGGCCAGCATCACACCTGAACTGGTGGTGACTGCTCTGTGCTCTCCTTGCAGCTCTCTTCCTGCTCCTTGCAACCATCCTGTCTGCTCGTGGTGCCAAGCGAGCCTCCCGGGTGATGCATCAGCAACTGCTCAGCAACATCCTGCGCGTGCCCATGAGCTTTTTTGACACGACCCCGACTGGGCGCATTGTGAATAGGTTTGCCAAGGTAAGAGAACAACCCCAGCATGGAGAAGGTATTCATTCTGGCAAGTCTGGAGAGCGTTGGGTGGTGGCATAACCCTGCTCCTGTTCAGCACTGCACAGGGTCTGGAAAAGACCAGAAGGGCATGGTAGATTTAAGGCTGCCTGTGAGGCAAACCACGCCCTGGACTATGCTAGGAGGAGAGTGTCCAGCAGATCACAGAGAATTATTATCTCCTCTGCTCAGTGCTAGGGAGGCCACACCTGGGTACTGTGTCCTGTTTTGGGGCCACCTGGTCAAGAGGGATGTGGAGAAACTGAAGAGGGTCCAGAGTAGATTACCAAGAGAGGTAGGAGCCTACAGCTCCTGTCCTGTAATGAACTGTCGTTCTGGTTATGGGCTGTCAGCAAATTATATGGTCTTTGTCATGTAAATGAGACTTGTAAAACGAAAAAGAAATGGTAAAGGAGGGAGAATACAGACAGGCAGTTTCAAGTGTGCTGCCACTTCACTTCTTTGGTGCCATCTCCTGACTTCTGGGAATAAAAACCTCTCTTGAGCACAAGCCTATGGGCCTGCTGCATTTACTCTGAGATGAGGGAATATATGATGCCCAGCTGGGAGAGGAATGGTGGCCAGCTGGATACATGAGTGCACCTGCATGGACCTGGGGTCAGCCCTGTTTGTCTTTCTGCCTCAGTTCCTGCTCCTGCATCCTGAGTCCTAGGATGCATCCTGCATCCCAAAGCTGGTTCATGCTACAAGGCAATATTATTGAAAGCTTCTCTGTTAAATCAGCTGTTCCCAAGATAAGACCTGTGGCCCTAAATGGGATTGTAACCCTAATAGCACTATTTTTGCTAGTGTCTGGCACTTTGTTATCCTGTCGGTGTGTAGGAAGCCTGTACATGTGGGGCCTTTGGGCTTTTCCCTCTCTCTGAGATCACTGACTGCTTCTCCCCACTTCTTTGCATGCTCCAGGACATCTTCACGATAGATGAGACTATTCCCATGTCCTTCCGCAGCTGGCTGTCCTGTTTCATGGGCATCATTAGCACATTGCTCATGATCTCCCTGGCCACCCCCTTCTTTGTTGTCATTATCATTCCCTTGAGCATCTTCTACTACTTTGTGCTGGTGAGTAACTGGGGCTTAAAGGAAGTTTCTGCCCTGCTTAGAGCAGTATCTTTGTCGCTGCCGGGCTTTGTGTTGGTAACCAAGCTGTGTCGCTCGTTCTAGCGCTTCTATGTCTCCACGTCGCGTCAGCTACGGCGTCTGGACTCTGTCACTAGGTCTCCCATCTACTCCCACTTTGGTGAGACAGTGTCAGGCCTTTCTGTGATCCGGGCCTATGGACACCAACAGCGGTTCCTGCAGCAAAATGAGAGCACCATGGACATCAATCAGAAAAGTGTTTACTCCTGGATAGTCTCGAATAGGTAAGCTTTATTCCTTATGCCACAACACAGCCTGCAGCACCTCTGCCCAGGGGCTCCTGGGTTCTGAGGGAGGTCCTGGGATGCTGCAGTCCTCCCTTTTGATCTTGGACTGACGGTCTGTGTAGGAACTAGGGGAGTTTGGGATAGGGACACCATCTGTAGGAAGGAGACATTTAGGGTGATTTCAAAACTCAGAATGTGGCCCCCTATGAAGTGTTCAAAGCCTGGTCAGGGTGAGCTGCGCTATCAAGGACTGAGATGCTCTTGATGGGTTCTGCAAAGAGGCTGATGCTCCAGGCCATGTGGGAGTGCGATGGGGTCACTGTGTGTTGGTGGTGTGTTACTGTTACATGCTTTGGGTGTGTGAGGGTTGTGCAGCTGGGGCTCCTCTGATACGTGGCATAACCAGCACAGGAGTTTCCATGTGAGACCCAGGGACTGAGAGATAAAATGAACCTTCTTGCAGAATTGCCCACAAATCACATTCTGTGTAGGTGCAGGTACCACATGTACAGCGCTAGGCTCAGGGCTGGGTGTGCAGGGATGCTGATGGGATGCTCATCTTACTGGTGGACCCTGCGTTGGGTGCAGGCAGAGGCAGAAGCCTTTCCCACCACCTTTCAGCTGTCCTTTTCTTGTGCAGGTGGCTGGCCATCCGTCTGGAGTTTGTTGGGAGCCTGGTGGTCTTCTTCTCTGCACTTCTGGCAGTGATCTCAAAGGACACCTTGGAGGGCGGCATCGTGGGTCTTTCTATCTCTTCCGCCCTCAATGTGAGTCAATGAAACCTTTTTCTTGTTCCAAGACAGGGCTGTTCCTGGGAGCTCTGGGATGGCTGCAGATGCTGCCCTGCCTCTGGCTCTGGTCCATGAAGAGAGGGTTGGCTGGGGTGTCCCATCACCTGGGGAGCTGCTATGGAGCCAGGGGAGCACACATACCAGTGTGACGGGGATGTTTGCCACCGTGGGGAGGAGCATGGTCCTGCTGTGGATCAGAGATGCTGCAGCAAAGCCTTTGAAGAGCTGGGGAGAGGAGGCTGTGGCCAGGGAGTGGATAATTGAGGGCAAGGCTAAGGATGCTCGAGCCCAGGCTGAATCCCTGAGCTGAGGTGGAAGATGAGTGTCCTTGGGTCCCACTGGTCTCTGCATTCTCTGGGCTCTGTCCCACAGGTGACCCAAACACTGAACTGGCTGGTGCGGACATCTTCAGAGCTGGAGACGAACATTGTGGCTGTGGAGCGGGTACACGAGTACACGAAAGTGAAAAACGAGGTGAGGGTCCAGGAAACACCTGCTGCACAGCTTGGTGCTGGTCAGCATCGTGGGGTGCAACCCCCATAATGTTCCTGTGCCCCCAGGCTCCGTGGAAGACAGAAAAGCGTCCACCCCATGGCTGGCCCAGCAAAGGCGAGATCCGGTTTATTGACTACAAAGTTCGTTACAGACCTGAACTGGAGCTGGTTCTTCAGGGGATCACCTGCGATATTAGGAGCATGGAGAAGGTTTGGACCTCTCTGCCTCTACCCTTTCCCTACTGATACTGTGTTAAAGTTGTTTCTGTGGGCTGGGGAGGGATGGTGATGGGATGTGGCTTCTGGGGACTTGAGCTGCAGGGCAAGGGACCAAAGGAGACAGTCTGGGATATGGTGGTTGCAGGTGCAGGACAGGAAGGCCCACCAGACCAAGACAGAGAGCATCTGCCCTGTTTTCTTCAACCCTGTCAGCTGGTCTAAATAGCTGTTTCCACAGGTTGGGGTTGTGGGCCGGACTGGGGCTGGAAAATCCTCCCTCACGAACTGCCTCTTCCGGGTGCTGGAGGCTGCTGGAGGGTCGATCATCATTGATGAGGTGGATATAGCAACAATTGGCCTCCATGACCTGCGCCAGAACCTCACTATCATCCCCCAGGTGAGCTCACCCCACCTTCCCTTTTCCCACTGCTGTGCATCCTACCCAGGCTCTGTTGCCTGGATGCTGCATTGCCCTTAGCGCATCCCTGGGTGCTGTGGGGAGCCTCAGGGCCTATGCCTTCACCACCTCCCCTGCCTATGGCAGGCAGTGGGGTGGACAGGATGTGGCCAAAATCAGGGGCCTGCAGCAGCTCCAGGACAAACCTGGAGCCATTGCCCCTGCTGAATGGCCATGGTGTGGCTGAACATGGTGCTGTCCCTGGCAGGACCCTGTGCTCTTCACTGGCACGCTGCGGATGAACCTGGACCCCTTTGACCAGTACACAGATGAGGAGGTCTGGAAGGCCCTTGAGCTGGCCCACCTGAAGTCATACGTGCAAGACCTTCCTGAGGGGCTGCTGCATCTTGTGAGCGAGGGAGGGGAGAACCTGAGGTGAGTGGAGGAGTGGAGGCATGCTGAGCTCCCCTCCCTTCCCCTGTTTCCAGGGAAACAGCAGCCTCGAGCAGAGTGGCTGTCCAGGGACAAGGGCAGAGAAGCTTCTGAGTGTGAAGGTGGGAGAAAACGGTCTAGGGGTCAGAGCTGGTGCTCAGTGTTGGGGAGCCAGCATGAGCCAATCCTTCCCTGGTGGCACAGAGAGCAAGACATTGAGGGACGTGGTGCTCGGGATAGCAGATGATCAGTTGGGGCAGGGCCAAGAAGTGTTGGACAAAAATGACGGTGGGGTCAGGGCAGCACGTGGGAGTGGGCTTACAGATGTGCAGCACCTCCTGTCTGCCTTGTAACTCATGTCCCCCACCTCATCCCAGTGTTGGGCAGAGGCAGCTGGTGTGCCTGGCCCGGGCCCTTCTCCGCAAAGCCAAGATCCTCATCCTGGATGAAGCAACAGCAGCCGTAGATCTGGAAACTGATCATTTAATCCAGACAACGATCCGGAGTGAGTTTGCTGACTGCACTGTCCTCACCATTGCCCACCGCCTCCACACCATCATGGACAGCAACAGGTACTGTGGCACAAGGGGAATGAGGCTCTGGACTCTGGGGAATGGGGCAAGAGGTAGCCAGCAGCAGAAGCAAGGGTGCAGCCTGAGGGGTAGGGGTGGATGCAGTGCCTGGGACAGCAAAATACAGAGCTTCCAGGAGAGTACAACAGAGGGATAGGAAGGATGGCCATGTCTCTGGGGAGAAAGAGTTTTGAGGATTCTTCTTTACAGTCACAAGCCATAGAGTTGTTCACACTTTACGTGTGTCAACCTGCCAGCACAGGAGGAGAGCTATGCCCTCACCTCTGTGCTGAGAGGTGAACCACCTAACGTGGCTGTAGGAGGAGTGAGCGTTGGTGGGGCTGTAGCGGTGGTGCCAGCAGAGCTATCAGCTCAGCCCTTCTTTTCCTGCTGCCAGGGTGATGGTGCTGCAGGCCGGGAGGATTGTGGAATACGACAGCCCTGAGGAGCTGCTGAAGAAGCAGGGCATCTTCTCTGCAATGGCAAAGGATGCCGGCATCACAAATGCAGAAAGCACCATGCTGTAGGTGGAGCGGAGCAGCGTGTGGGTGTGTGCACAGACAGGCAGCTCCCTCTCGCTGGCACTCAACAAGCAGGCACCGGCATCTTCCTGCAGCCAGCTTGCCCAAGAGTTTGTGTCTCTGCAGTGGGGAAGCAGAGATGGCAGCTTCTCTGGCGGTCAGGGACAGAGGATCTGGACTTCAGGGGACTGCTAACCTTGCCACCGCACCCTACCTGCTGTGCATGGGAGGGATCTGGAGCTGTGTAATTTATTACAGTATAGAAAATTTATCTGCCAAGCAGGGAGACCATGACCTCCCTCTTAGGGGGTCTTAGTTTTTGTACTTGACCATGCCAGGGAAACCTAGCTGAGAGATGCTTTAGCAATAAGGAATGAAATTTAGAGTTTAATCTGAAAGTGAATGTTGTAATTTATTTACTTTTTTGTAACAGTTTCTAGTCTTTCAATTAAAAGTCTGACTTTAAGGCATGCGAAATAAGCCTCCGGTTAGCTTTAAACCTGGCTACAGTTTGGGGAAAGTTGGTAACACAGATTACGCAGCCACATGTGGGCAGGGAGTCCACATCCAGTGGCAAAGCCATAACCAGGCATGAACCACTCTGGGAGTGGAGGTGAAGCCAGGGCCCGCCTGCCTTCCCTGTGGCTACAGCTCCCTTTAATTGTAGTGCAAATAAATGAGGTAATCCCTGAGGCTATCATCACCACCCATGGAGCAGATTTTGGGCTGTGGCTCCAGATTACAAACCTGACTGTAGTGGAGACAAACTGGAGAGGTGCAGGCACACGTGTGAGCTACACTGACATGCACGCACAGAAAATACAGTGGTTACTGCTGACAAATGCTTGGCCCTGCTTTGTTCTTAGGCATGAAGGCCAGGAGCTGTAGCACTGAAATTGACTGGGGCATGCAGGGAGTCTGTGCCCATATGTACACTGCCTTCTCACTTACAGCAGGGCAAACCCCTTCACCCCAGCTGGAGGCAGGAGGGACACAGCCACCCACAGTGCCAGCTGAGTCATGTAACACACAGCTGGGGGGGAGGGTAGTGTAATCACTTCATCTTAATGAAGATCTTTCCTAGAAGGGTTTCCTAGTGCCTCAGCTGGAGCTGGCACAAACACCAAGGCAGAACCATGCTGGACTCCACCAAAAAGTTTTTCCTGACCCTGCAGGGTCTGCATGAACTCTCCCCAGCCCAGCACTGGCCATGCACTCCTCCCAGCAACCCCGACACTCATACACGCACAGCCTATACACAAGGGCAAACCTTTATTTACAGAGCAGCAGTACAGGGGACGCAAACATGGCCCCAAGGAGAAAGGAGCTTCCCTCCTTCAGGGCATGGCAGCAGTGGGTAAGACACACCACCCCTGCAAAGGGCACCACATTCCTCCCAGAGAAGGCCTTGCCCACGCAGAATGCCAGCACTGTCTCACAGAATCACAAACTATTAGAAGTTGGAAGGGACCTTAAAAGATCATCTAGTCCAACCCCCCTGCCAGAGCAGGATCACCTAGACTAGGTCACCCAATAGGTGCTGCTAGCAGCAGAGCTAGGAGAGGGCCAAGCCTCTGGCAGACCAAGCCCATTCCAGCTGAGAGCTCTACGCCTAGCAAACCCCAGAGCTGCTTCCCCAGGCAGCGTGTGGATGTCCCACCCTAAGGTCCTGCACAGACAGCTGAGACCAGGCTGCTGCTGCTGCTAAGGTACAGGGAGCATGTTCACAGGGCCTGGGTTGCTTTTAACACTATTTGCCTAAAAATGGATCCTGGAAACTCAGCATTAGCCATCCACAATTTAAGCCTATAGCAACTCCTCAGCCTCAGTCAAGCTGTTCCTTCCTGGGCCACGGCCCCATGCTTTGCTCCCCTGCTCCCAGGCTGGATACAGCAGGATCACAGAGCACATGGTGAAAGCAACTTGTCCCTGTCCTCACACAAGCTGCCTGCTCCTGCCAGCCCACCCTTCTTTCTCCCCCAGAAGGGGAGGTGGCAGCCAGTGTGGTGGGGCCCAGGAGCACTTCATGGCTGCAATGGACACAGACTCAGGGCAAGCAGTGGGGGCTGCAGGGCTGGCCAGCCTCACCTGAGACGGCTGGCAGTCCCAGCAGGAACAAGGCACGGGGTGCAGGCTCCTGCCCACTACCTCACGTGTACTCTGTCTTCCGGATGTAACTGGAGGGCACATAACCCTGCTTCCCATGTGCCTCGGCCAGCCACCACTCCCGATTGCCTGTGATGTCCTCAAACTGCAGGATCCTGAGTCTCTGGTTAGCTGACACGCTCAGCTCGTTGCTGTTTCGGCCTTTGAAGGTGTAGAGAGCATAATAGACCTGCCAAAGAGACAGAGAGCACACGTCAGTTGCATGGCCATGACACACAGCCTTGCTGTTGCACTGTACAGGATATGTGGGCTTTTGCTCCTCTCTCCAAACAGCAACAGCCCCATCCCCATCCTGGCCTCCAACAGAGCTGCCCCCACCTGCCTACCTCCATTTCCAACCAATTTCTCTTCCTTTGCACCTCTGGTGCTGGGAGAAAAGGTCTCATCCCCCATCTCAGCCGTCTAGGACAAAGCAGCCTGGACCTCCCATCTCTCCCTGGTCACTACCAGGGAGGAGGACGATTCAGCCCCCACTCAAGGGGGCCAGCCCTCAGCATCCCCAACCCTGAGGGCTCACCTGGTTGCCCTCAGACTCGCTGCTCTCTAGCCCAGAGTCTCTGTCCTCCACCGAGGATGCGGGTCTGAGATGTACTTTGGTGGGGTTCCCATTGCGAGAACTAGGGCTGCAGCCGAGCTCAGGGCGGCTGTAGCGGCGCTGAGATGTCACTGTACCAGGCTCCAGTGGGGCTGTCCTGCCACCAGAGCCAAGCTGGGGCAGAGAGGGGGAGTCTGTCTCTGAGAGGGGCTGTGCGGACTCGTATGGGTCTGCTGGAGCGGCAGAGTCCTGCAGGGGTCTCTGAGTGAAGGTGACAGCTGCTCCACTGGGGCTGAAGGTCAGCGTGGTGTTGCTATGGGGAGACGAGCTGCTGTGCTCTGACTCGTTGGAAGAGTGGCTGCCCATAGAGACATCCGACTGGCTGCGGCGTGGGTTGTAGGGCTTCAGAAAGGAGCTGTACACAAAGCCCTTGGTCACTGCAGAGAGGGAGAAAGAGAGGAAGGGAGCTCAGACTGGGGACTGGCAGAGGGGAGTTGCAGGAGATACTGAGGGCAGCCACTTACCCCCGTTGTCTATAAGCCAGCGATTCTGGCTGCCCATAGGGTCCTTCTTCTTGATGACACCCACGATGTCTCCTTCCAGCAGTGAGACATCCAGGTCTTGGGCAGCATTGAAATTGCGGTCTGCCTGGAAGAGACTTTCTGGGGGATAGTGAGCCAGGAGGGCAGCTCGGATGTCATCTGACTGTAGGAAGTAGCTGGGCTGCAGAGGAAAAAGAACAGGCGTGAGTGGTTGTCCCAGGCTCAGCAAGCCCTGACCTGGGGCAGAGGAAACTCACCAAGCCAACAAGGGGCTGCCGCCGTGCAGACTGCCGCTCCACACTCTTCCTTTCAAAAGGCTTCTTGGGAGCTGCCTGGGACTCTGGGAAGAAGGTGAAGGCCTGGAGCTGCTGGAGGACTCGACTGTGCTCATCCTGGAAGATGGCAATGAGGTTTCCCTCCCTGCCAGACACCTTCAGCAACTGGAACCAGAACAGGGTTGGGGGTCATGGTTAGGTGACTGCTGCTGGGAAAAGTGGCCAAGAGCTACAGCAGAGACCACACCAGCTCCTGGGCCAAGCAAGGCTCTGAGCCCTGCCTATGATTTGCATCAGGCCCAAATCTGCAGTCCTGCCTGGACCCAGCTCTGAGTGATCCCCAGACTCATGACCTGAGATTCTCCCAGGCTAATGGTCTCCTGCTACTGTTGCAGGAGCAGCCAGAGCCTCCTCCATCTCTATGCACAACTACACCATGACCCTGCAATCCCTGCCCTGATAACATTCCACAGGAGCCCTCCCCAAGGCACCTGGGGTCTGAAACTGCAGCTTCCCCCACAGTGGGATGGGTCCCAGAGAGGCTCGGACAAGATTAGCGCTGCACTGAGCCCAGAGTGCTGGCTGTGCTCCAGGAACCCACCGACAGCAGAGGTCTCAGCTCTTCCAGGGCTAGGCGCACAAAGTCACAGTGTGCCTTGGCGTAGCCCCGCACGCAGCTGGCAAACAGCTCCTTGGCGAAGCACAGGAACTTGGGCAGCTCGTCGAGGAGCTGGGCATTGAGAGCCTCATAGTTGTTGCGGGCTGATTGTAGCTCCTCCAGCGTTCGCTTGTCCTTCAGCTTCTCTGCTCGCTCAGTGCAGTTGTGGAAGTCGAGGAGCTTGTCGAAGCGTTTCTGCACCAGCTTGTGAGGCCCTGCAAACATGCTCAGCAGCTGGTTCAGGGGTGATCTCACCAGTCGCTCTGTCCGCTCTTTCTGGTGGCAGAGATGCAGAGAGCAGGTGAGACAAGGTGCTCTCTCCTGCCATATTGCAAACAGCAGCACCTCAGCACACAACCTCGTAGAACAGCACAGGGTCCGTCTTTTCAATGGCACCCACCACAGCTCCAGAGGTCCCTTTCAACAGCAACTATTCTATAATATTATATAAATGTGCCAGCATGGGCAATGCTATGGGAAGTACCTGAACCACTTACAGAGAGCCGTAACATTTCAGGTAGGGCTGAAAAGAATGAGTATACAACATGCACGCCCAATACACATCATAAACTCACAGGCATCAAAGCTCTCAGGAGGTGAGCACCCAACAGGGGTGCTCATACCTCTCCCAGGTTGTGCTACCCTCCCTGCAGACTCCCAGGGGCTGCCCATCTGCAGCAGGCCCCCACCACATGAGAACACAGCCTCACTCACAAAGTTGGAGAAGAGCTGGTCGCTGATGAGCCGGTTCACTTTCTGGAACTGGTCCAAGTCCCCACTGCTTTTCTCTGTGCACAAGTCCCACATGCTCACTGCTGCCAATGCCTTCATGCAAGCCGACTCCTGCACCAGTGACACACAGTCAGCACAGCCATGCTTGCTGTCAAGGGTAAGAGGCTTCCCATGGCAGCCCAGACCCCCAGAGGCCACCCCCCAGCACGGTTGAGGTCAGGAGCACTGGCCAGAGGCACTGCAGGTATGCACCATGCAGGCAGCAGGGGCAGTGCATGGCGAGTGCCATCCGTTAGGCATCACACCCAGACAGACTCACCCGGACGTGCTGCAGGTAGAGAGAAAGGTCCCGGATGAAGGACTTGATCAGTCGCTCTTGCAACCGGAAATTTTTCTCTGTCTCCTCAAAAGCTTCATCCTTCAGCTGCGAGAGAAAATGTCTCAAGGGAGGCAAAGCACAACTCCAGCACCTCCCAGAGTGTGAGATGCAGGTTCTCCCTGTCCACAAGTAGGACAGCAGAGACAGGTGGTTCAGGCTCTAAGCTCACTCTGATGGCCTGGATCAGAGCTATTCATTGGAGAGAGGTGTGGGGGGACAGCAGACACCACTGCAGAAGCACTGCAGGGTGTAAGTGCACCTGGCAATTGATGTACAGATGTACACTACCTGGGGCGCGAAGCCTGTGAGATGCTTGAGGTGGCTGCTCACACGGTTGGATTTCTTGATGATAGAGTGGAAGTTAAGCTTGGAGATCTTCTCCATTAGGCTATCTTCATCCCCTTTCCGGTACTTTAGAACTAAAGAGATTGATGTAGAAATCAGAACCCTTGTCAGTACAATGCCCATGTCTTACAGTGCCTCAGCAATTGCTTTGCTGGTTCTCCCCTTCCCCAAGTTTCTGCAGCCCCAAGTGTCCCACATAACATATTGTTATCTCATATCATGTCATGTCTTTCCATATCACAGCATGTCATATCATGTTATATCACACCAGGTTATGTCATATCAGATCATAACATATACCATATCATATCATACCATACCATACCATACATCACCTTGAAATCCTGCACTGTGCCTCCTGTAATCCCCTATTTCGCTCTCTATATGTCCCACAGTTTGTAGGCCCACCATTTAAACTCTTCCATAGGATTATGCATAGCATTAGCATAAGATGACACAGAAGATGGTGTACAATAATCACGGGACATATAGAAGGTATTTATGTTGCTTCTTTAGCAAATATGAGCAATCATTACAGGCAATCTATGTCATCTCAGCTTCAGTGGGGCTATGCGGAAAGAGTAAAGTATAAGACCTGCACAAGTCAGGGGCTTCCAAAGTAAAACAAACAGGGTGGCCAGCAGGTCAAAGAGAAAAATTTCCTCCCTCTGTTCAGTGCTGGGGTTACCATGTCCGGTTTTGGTGCCTCCAGGTCAAGAGAGATGTGGGACAACCAGAGCGCCTGAACCACAGGGAGAGCTCAGGCCACACAACAAGAGCTGGGGGTGCCAGGTGGGCTCAGCCTGGCTGGAAGGAGGCAGAGGGGGATCTGCTCACAGTCGGCAGCTACAAAGGTGATGGAACCCAACTCAGCAGCGCCAGGCAATACAACGAGGGGCATCAGCCATTCAAGATGCAGCTTGGAGGCAGCCCTGGCACAGTACAGCAGAGTGGCAGTGAAATCTCTGTCCTTGGGGGTCAGCGAGAATTGGCCGGAGGGAGTGGTGGCTGATCAGAGACAACGTTGGGGACAATCCTGCTCCAAGCAGGAGGTTGCACAGGAGAGCCCAGAGGGCTGTTGCAGCCAGCGCCTCCGCAATTCTGTCCTGTCTACAGATATACCTTCAAACTTAGTCTCCAAATCTCAGTAAGACAGAGACTACCCTAGCAGATTCTCTACTTCTGTTGTTTAAAATTGGATTTTTTAAACTTTAATACATTAAATACATATTCATATCGTATGATGTCCTATCATTATTTTTGTTTTCATTTAATAGGCATATGGTCAGGAACTTTATACATTTCATCTCTCTGTATCCCAAGAAACAGCTGAAGTCAAAAGTATATTGTGTTACTCAATGTATTGTATCTCATGCTCAGATTTTTGAATGCAGCTCTTCTACTGCCCTGCTGGCAGGGCACAGTTTATTGGGGGCAGATTGGGGGCTAATGCTCAGAAGTCAGCAACCTCAACACCCCCACTCCTGTCTTTCTCTCCTAGCTCCTCACCCAGGTCTTTCCGGCGCTTGTATTCATTGATGTTGACGTTGATTTCTTTGACTGCGAGGACAGCAGCTGTGAGTGGTGCCTTGTCAGGGTGAGCCTCGGGGGTGGCACTCAGTAGCTCCATCAGCAGCAGTGGGTACCGCATCACCCTTTGCACTGGCTTGATAAGGAAGGAGCCCAGGTTAATGTAGTTTGTGCAGCCCCTGGGAAGTGAGGACAAAGGAGATGCACTAGGTTTCAGTCCAGATCTGCCACACAAATTCTGCCCTCTCAAACCAACCCAAATGAGACCCAGAACAGCAACCCCTCTAAGTCCACTGTACTCTCTAAGTCACATCACCCTCATCTCCAAACTCACTGCACTCCTAAACTGGTGCTCTCAGATCAACCCCAGGTTTCCAGACCTCACGCACACCAAGTGACCCTTCCCAGGCAGGATCCTCTCCGTCAAAAGACTCACCATGAAATCCCACACAGGCACACCCTCACACTTACCAGAGTGTCACTTGCCTCAGACTCTGTCCCACCACCACTGTGTCAGGACCACAGCCAGTGCAAGGCTCTCCTGGCTCCTTAAGGCTGACAGCTCTCAAAACCTGTTTCCTGCCCAAGACCTCCTCTCACTTCATCATCTGCCTGTGCTGCCTGCCTGAGCAGTCTACCCATTGCCTCTGCTGTGATCACACCACAGGCACCCTGCTCCTCCCAGATGTGACCATTAAGGCCTCTCAGCATGCACCCAGCCAGTGATGGGAGGTTAGTTACATGAGAGCAGGCAGGTCAGGACAGATGGACAAGTGGGGACTAACAGGAAGAATGCACTTACCACTCAGTGTACAGGCTCCTGCCGGTCCACAGAGTGCCAAAAAGCAAAGAAAAGCAATGGGTTAATAGGGGGCAGGCGTGCAGTGATGCTGCCAACGCAGTGGGTAGCCCCGGTCTCCCAGAGCAGCAGCCAGTGCTGCCAGTCCCGAGGACATTAACCTCCACAAGCTGGAGCCCTGGCAGTCCTCACCAGCCATAGTAGGGCAGTCCTGGAGGAACAGGAGTCCTCAAGTCAGGACAAGCCACCTTCTCTGTACTTTGGTGGCTTCTATTCAGACTTTAAGGAGGGTCTATGGGTGTCCCAGCACCTATGCATTGGGGCAGGAGGCCATTTGAACCTAGATCCTGGTCAACTGTACAGTGACACAGCCAGCCCCTCTCCAGTCACCACCTGAACTGCCCAAGTATTACCAACAAATGTTGGAGACCAACCCCCCTACCCCAGCCTAGTGGCTGCCACAGCCAGAGGCTCCAACCTGAGGCTATCCAGCAGGTCCAGGAGTAGTTTCTGTATCTTCTCATCCTTCTCATAGGTTTCCAGCAGCGCGATGGCCTCATCATGGTTCTGGCAATACGCCCTGTAGACACTCTCCAGCTCTTTACGCTGTGCCAGGAACACTGGCCCTGCAGACAGCAGTGAAGCAGGGCTTCAGTGTCCCCTTGGCCCCAGCTGCCTTCAACAACCCTGGCATGTCTCATGATGAGATGCCCAGTGTCCCCTTTCCACACACACAGCTTGAGAAGACAGTGTTACTAGAGCATCCTGGATGTCTCCTCATCCCCTGCTAGCATAGATACCTCAATCAATCCAGCTCTTTGAGGGTTGAGGAGTGGGGACACCGGCCACTGGAACCACACAGAGGGCAAAGACGCAGGCTGCCCAGGGCCTGAGCCGAGAAAGGTGGCAGCGCTGGAGTGAGAGTAGGACTCCCTTTGGGGTAAAGGGCCAGGGTGGGCCACAGGCACTGCATTTCTCAGCATAGAACAATGGGGGGTGGCATTCATGAAGCAATACCTACCTCCTCAGCTTCACTGCTGAAGAGATGAGCAATGATAGGGACCAGCAGTGAGTAAGCCCAACCCCAGTGACTTGCCATTTAAACTACTCTCTTCTGTCCTGCCACTAGCAAAGCACATCCCAGCCTGCTGAGTAAAGGTAACAGCAGAATTCATACCAACGGTATCTGAAGCCTCCAAGGTAGACAGCAGCTGTTTGGAGAAGCTAATTACCATGTGGATGTTTCCAAAAAGACCATCAAAGTCCATATTCTGCATCTGGGGAACAGGAAGAGAAATATCCCAGACAGGATAACATGTCCCAGCCAGACCCAACAGCTTTGCCTTGCCCTCCTGAAACCCATCAGCCCTCAGCTCACTCGCAGCCACCCAGCATGACCTGCTTTCACCACAGTGACTTCCGTGCTCACTCCCCCATCCCCTCCATGCACTGAAACTCTCACTCCTTATGTGTCCTACCAAACACAGTGCCCTCCTCTTTCCCAGAAATTTCATTCCTGTCTCTTTTCACTTGATATTCTCTCTCTCCTCCTACCAACTCTGTCCCCATACCAAGATCCCATATTTTCCTTCTCCTGACAACGAATTTAACCCACAAACTAAATGAAGAGGAACATTTCCTACCTCAGGAAATGAATCTATGATACTTGCTGCCAGGTTTCTTGCTCTTAGCAGAGGTGGGGGCTCAGCAGGATCCCAAAACAGATGGGCTATGTCTATGAGTGCAGGGAGCAGCAAAACCCATCCTGCTCCCCTCAGCACAGCTGAATTTCCCCTGTGAGATCCCATGCTGCTGGCTTGGCTGCCTCCGAGAACAAAGTGAACTCAGTATCCTCACCCCATCGGACCAGTGCTGCACCATGGCTTGCCCCCCTGCTTCTACCTGTGCTTGCTGCAGGGGGACCATGATCCTCTCCACACACATCTCCAAGTCTCTGATATAGTCCCGCTCCGTCTGGAGCAGTTCCTCAATAACCTTGGACCTCTTCTCCAGCATCCTTTGCTCTGGGCTCTCAGTGGCAGCCAAGGAGGTCTCCAAGGATGGTGTCTGGGAGGACAGGAGAGTCATCTCTGCAAGACAGACCAGCAAGATTGGCATCTTCCAGTGAGAATGCAAGGATGAGAGACAAGTAGCACCTAAACTATGCCACACGCAACCTGTAAGACTGCCAAACACAACTGTTAGATAGCAGTACTCTTCATGCAAGGACCTTTCCAGAGAGGCCATCCCCAGCACTCCCAGCCCCAGGGCAGCAAGGAGCCCCGATCTGCTCCTACAGCCTGCCCTGGCAGCACCAGTAACACAAACCTGCTCTCCCACTGCCAGCCGGGCCCAGACCTCTCTCCTACTGCTGCTCTCCAACTTTACTGCTTCAGAAAACTTGGTGGGGCTGAGCACATGCGGAGATGAGCCCCACTCCACTCCTCACCCTCTTCCCAGCTGGGCAATGGCGGCTGCCCTCTTCTCTCAGGTTGGGAACAGGGTCTCCATTCCCCAGCCTCGGGCCATTTCCATCTGAATGGCCGAAAAGGCCTCAGGCATCCACAATGGGGCTGCTGGCGGCAAAGCCTGGAGCTGGACCGCGGCGAGCAGCGCTCCCTGGGGCCGGGAAGGCTGAGGCCTTTGTCGGGAGGCTGCGGTGGGCACCCGGAGGCCCGGGGTGGCTAGATGTGCCTCATGGGTGGCCACCATGCCATGGGCGGG